CACTGCACACCTCACAGCCTCCTCCTGGCTGTGCTCCTAAGATCCTGCTCACTGACCCTTTCACTCTCCCATGGCCCCAGCTATATCCACACACCCACAACTTTTTCAATCTCATTCTTCAACTCTTTTTTGAACTCCAGACTATACAAAAGACATAATTGTTTATTGAGCACTTACTATGTGCTAAGCACTATTCTCAGCATTATATTTGTTTTATTCCATTGAATATCCACAGCAATGCAAATGGTAGGTAATAATAACATTACAAAAACCGAGTCCCAGAGAGGCTGAGTAACTTGCCCAAGACTACACATCTCTTGCCCTTCACGTCCCATAGACAACTCCAGCTCAACATGTCCACCATATAACTTGTCATCTTCCTTTCCAAACCAGTTCCCCTCCATGCTCTGCTCTCAGCGGAGACATCTCCAGTGTCACAGGCCCAAGCCAGAAACTGAAAGTAAGACCTGACTCCTGCCTTGTCCTCACCCACTCCTTCATCCAGTGCCAGCCCAAGTCCTAGTTATTAAGCAAAACCCTTCTCACCCACCAGCACTGACCTATTAGGTGCGCTGCTGCTCCTCTCGGATTATTGCCTCTCACCATACTCGCTTGCAGGCCCCAGTATCTCCCTTTTCCACCAACCTGCACACAGCAGCTCAGGAGGACTTTCTAAATCTCTTCTCTCCATGTCCCTACCTCCAGAAGAAAGCCCAGCCTCCTCTGCCCCCTGTCCCCTCAGTCTGTAAAGTGCAGCAGCCAACCCCTGAAAGGATACACCCCAATTCTGCAGTATCTCCTCTGGGAAGCCATCCTTGGCCTCAGCTTTGAGGCCAGACTGTGAGCCCTCTATGAGCCCCACAGTCTCCATGTAGCCCCCTCTCCACCCCTTAGCTCTTGACTCCTGTCCCCATTAGACTGTGTTTCTCGAAGGCAAAGACCCAGCCCCCTCCACTCAAGGCCTGCACACAGGAGGTACTCAATAATTGCTGAAAGGATAAACACACAAGCAATGATAGGAACCATGGATAATGCTGCCTTTCTGAATACCTTAAAGTAGGAGGATTTCTGTGTGGCCACATAGTTGGTTTACCTAGCTGCCATACTTTCCAATCATAGGAAGGCCTAGCCTCATGAACGCTAATTAAGATTACCAGCCTCTTCAAGAATGAATAAGAATGCCCC